GATACCATGACTACCTGAATGAGGTATTATGATTCTCCCTTTTTGCAATGTGAAAACAGGCTCAAGAAAGGTTGCATCACCTGCCCGAGGGCTAATAAATGCTGTTTCATTGGTGCAGAGAATGACAGATGAAAAATCAGTTCTTATTTTCATAGAATGCTATGGAATATTTTATAAGGATTTTCTTCTTTCTGTCTCTTAGAATCAGCAAGGTAAAGAAGAAATCAGAAGGATTGTCTCAAAGGATGGAGGACAGATGTATTCAGGTGATCACTTGTCTCACTTGTCTTGCGTTTCTCTCAGCAAGGCCCTCTTCTATTGCCATTGAGGTTCAGTCTTGTTGGCAGCAGCTTGATGAATGGTGTGGGAGTATCCAAGGGGGCTTCTGATAGGCCTAAATAATAAGCAAAGGAGAGTGGCGGCCTGAAAGGAGGGTGAACCAGTAAGAGAGAAGGTCTGTGGGAGAAGGATGGAGGGTCTGTACAGAGGCACCTGCTACAGGTCTACTCTGTTGTGGCTGTTTGGAAGGCTGGGTTTTGTTGCAGGCACTGTGAGATGGGGAGCAGCAGCAGCACACCTGAAACAGAAGCCAAGGAGGAGTCACATTAGCTTCACACTGTCTGGTGGTTCTTGTTGTCAGGTGGAGGACCCATCTGCCTGGCTTCTTTTTGTACTAGGATGAGATTGTGGACTTCCTGATGGGAGTGCTTACTTGGTGTGAGCCTTGGCATCAGGATGCTGAGAAGAAGAAGCCTCATGATGTGGCCTGCAGAGACATGGCATTTGAAGTCCTTGAGTGGGGCAGTCAATCTGCTTCCCCAGCTGCCCTCCTCATCCTTGCACTCAGAGGTAGAGTGGGTGGGGAGGGAGCACTCTTGCTGGTTGTGAGGACCTCACAGTGGGCTCTCCAACATTCTGGAGATGCCTGTGAGTTCCTCTGAGGAGGCTCTAGGGGCTCTTGCTGACTGTGGTCAAACCCAGGCAGACTTGACTCATCTCTTGGCCTTCTCTCTCCTGAGGATCTTTCCAGAGTGTCCAGTAGTCACACCTCCCATTCCATGACCATCATGGCCACAATGACCTCTGCTCAGAAGTTAAGAGCAGGTGCTCCCAGATGCCCAAGAGAGATGTGCAGTGGAAAGAATCTATGCTGACCCACAAACCAGCCCAGGGTATAGGCTCAGGGACCAGTGGCCTCTCTCAAGTT